GTTATTTCCAGCTCAAAATTTCATCCTTCCTCACATTTTTTGCGATTGCCACTGCAATGAATAGAACGCACACAAGCTTTGTCTTTGTATGGTTCTGGAAATGTAGCAAGTAGTTACTTCAAGAGCAGATTTCATGATCAGTTCTTTGAAGAAAATGTCAGCATTTTTTCATGGTACAGTGGGGAAGGGGGATGAGCTGTTGGCCGTCACCTTGGTGACGGGTATGTGTGTCTCATTATTACTATATTACTGCTAAGAAGAATGTATTTTCTTATTCTCATTGAAATAAGTTGCTTCTCCCTGGGTACATTAGAACAATTAGCAACTCAGTAGTACTCCCTACTGAAATGCCTAGAAAAAACATATTTGGTTGTATCAACAAAATCACTATCACAAAGATATAAATCAGTCCGTTTTAGTATCAGGCTCGACAGCAGTGGAAACATGAAGGTAAATGTAAGGTGGTACTATTTGTTATATATCCCTTTCACTACTAGTTTATTTGACAAAGAAAATGGGATCATTATGAAACACTCTACCTCCTGCAAATTCAGCTGACAAAGTTTACAGATGGATGGTAGTTTGATGAAAAGCTGGATGAATATTAATGTTTGTCAGGGTCAAAGTCTCATACAAATGAGAGCATCTTTCTTTTTTTATGGGTTATTGTTAGAATGAGTCAAAATCTGTCCTGGAGTGTCAGCAGCTGAGGATTTCAGCGGTTGCCCGAATACAACAGAACTGCATTTAGTCTGCTTGAAACAATAACATTGATGTTGGAAAGCATGATTTTTTCAGAAAACTGTCCATATACAATTTACCCACTCTTCTATCTTTAAGGTTTTTTGTGTGTTTCTCACATGTTTCTTGCCCTAGGGCAAAAGATACGGTGTTTTCATAAATGTTTATGAGCGTGATGGTGAAACAAAAGGAGGATTTGTAAGCTAGGTGGAATTTATTTTCTCCATACTCTTTTGGTAGTGAGAGCAAGGATATTTGAAAGAACAGAAGTTATGTAGGTGCAGAAAAAACAAAATAAATTATGGTTTGTGAATTGAGGGGGACTTGGTGAAGAAGAAGAGACAAAGAGGTATTCTTTTATGATATGGACTTTGTGATATATTAAGAGAAAGAAAAGATGTGATTTCACAGAAATGAGAGGGATGGCAAGTTCAAATTAGAAGTGCAGACAGGACCTACAAACTTCTCAGATGTAAACAGCAAACTGAGTCAAGAAAAAAGAAAGGTGAAGATTCACATGTTTCCTGTACAGTTTAAAGAGTAATTGGTTTCAGGAATTAAAATTTCTCAAGCTTAACAGTGGTTTCTGTCAGGAACTAGACAATTTAACGAGAAGGGCTCATGTCTCAGAAAATAGTGCTACATGAGAATCTGTACTTCAAAATGACATCCAAAACCTCAAAATAAAATAAAAGTTTAAGCTTTGTAAAACTTTGTGAATCTTAAAAGCATTGCAAGCCTGACATGTTGAGACCCAAATACCTTTGTCTGACAAATATCAATAGAGATTCCTGGGCATCCTAGACAGAATGTTTTGGGAGATTCTCTGGAGAAATGGTACTCACTGGGGGTACTACTGTATCAGGATGATGAACATATTCTTGCTTGATTGTTACACTAGTATTAAAAACAAAGTTATATACACAATGGACAAGTCTTTAAATGTTTGCCAAATAAAAAGGAAACGGATCCAGATGTTGTGTTCAAATATAATGTATCATCTATTCATCTTCTTGGGAATAAGAAATGTGTTTGGGTCTTGGACAAAATAATTTTTCATTTGCAGAGATGGAATAAAACTTCCTATAAGCTCAAAATAGCAGTGAAAAAGGTCTACAAAGACTGATAGTTACACAGTTCATGTGTACCTATTCCGATCCAGAAGCGCATGCTGCTTTTCACAGAGGAATCATATAGCACAGTTGTCTGTACCAATCAGATGTTTTAATAATATTTTTCCTGTTGGTTAAGCTTCAATAAATTAAGCTGGTAAGTGGATTAAAGTCTTTTATGTGCTTTGTATACTGTTTGTGTCATGAATAATTTAATTATGGTTGCCTCCAGGACAAAGCTCAG